GTATGGGGGGGGGTGGTGAGGCTGCGGGTGAGGGAGCGGGAGACAGCTTCTTTTCACTGTTATACTGTACATGCATATAAATATATATACATATATACTGTAGTACATATAAATATTGAGGGAAAAACATTAAAGACTAGTGAAGGCAGTCTGTAGACCCTCCTCCTCCTCCCCCTGACTTCCTGCTCTGAGCTGATCTGGTCACAGTATCTCCAGTCTAACTGCTCATCTTTAAGATCTTTTCCACCAAATTTTTTTTCCAACAAATATATTCACAAATATACTCGTTATTTAGAATGGACGACTGTCTGAGAACTGCAGCAGTGAGACAGAGACAGAGACGGAGACAGAGACAGGCCTGGTGTCAACAGGCAGGACCAACATCACAGTAACACAAACACTGCAGTAAAACACATCTAAATATACAAGTGTGTGTTTAACGCTTTGATGCTTCGTCTCTGTTATTAAAATCTAAATATACAAGTGTGTGTTTAACGTTTTGATGCTTCGTCTCTTTTATTATTATTAATATTATTATTATTTCTCATCCATAAGACGCAGCAGCGCCACCCAGGGTTCTGTTAGACACCACCGTAGTCACAGGAACCACAGTTTGGCCATATAGGAAATTGTCCCAAAAATGTAGGAGCCACACCCAGAGTCACAGATGACCATTTAATAAAGGCTGTGGCCCAACGTAAAGAAAACATTTCAAAACCTGGCCCTGAGTCACGGGTTCGTTCGGTGATCACGGTTTTTCACCCAAGAATGTGAGGCAAAAGTTATGGAGGCAGCCTGGTTAGAGTTACTTGGAGAATATTTAAGGTAGTATTTGAAGATAATGTGAGTGTAGAAACAGGACACAGACGTTTGACGATTCAAAATAAAAACATTTACCGTCCTGTCCGGAGCTCTGGAGGTGTTCTATCAAGTCACAGCCGAACGCATTGTCACTTCCTTTCTTCTTCAGCTTCTGCTTCGTCCCTTTATTCTTCATGTGGCTCCAGTTAGTGGTCCAGATGATTCAAAGCAGAAGACGCTCCTTCACAGCACGGTGACCTATCCATATGACCCCTCCCGCCCCCAGAAAGAAAGAAAGAAAAAATGAGGTGAAGATTTGAGGGGGGGGTCAATAAGAGAAGTGGACATGGAGATCCCAGCGTTCTGCTCCCACAAAACTCTGCATCCGCTCACATTCTGTGACTGTCGGGAAGCAGAGAGAGCAGAAGTGATGTCACCTTAAAACTTCAAATTTGTGCGTCAGATTGTCATGATTCCAAGTGATGGTGGGAGAGAAAAAAAAAAAAAGAGAACTCCCGGTGTGGCTGTTGCCGGGCTGGTACGTGGCAGCGAGCGGTTTTTATCTCCGAAGGATTTGCAGAAACAGCATTAGAATGGCTTGGTTTCCTGTTGTTTTTTCACCCCCAGTCAGACTCTCCGCTCCTTTTTATCTCCTCCTACTCCTGCCCTTCATTCCACAGAGCCCCCCCTCCCCTCCCTCCCTCCTGCCCCCCCCCACTCCCCTTCCAGTTCTCTCTGACTAAGGAGGCACACATGCATCAGGAGGAGAACGCCTCAGTTTTTCATTCATATTCTGATTTCCTGCGTGGATTTTCTAAATATTCTGTGTTCAGAGCTGGCTTCGTGGCAGGGATTTTTCAAAAGTTGAGAGCGTCTAAAAGGGGGAGGGAGCTGAAGCCACGGGGAGGAGAACAGATGACTCCTGCCACTCTCGCGGCCTAGGACTTACTGACCTCTTTTATTCTCGTTTTTTAATTTTTTTTCCCTTTTCTTTTTTTCTTACGTGCCCACATTCAGAGCTAACGGGAAAGCAAACCCTTGGACTTCCTGAATGCTCCCAGTGTGTACAGTTTCCTGCTCCGAGGGCCCGGGGTTGAAAAACAAAAACAGACCGGTTCTGAAGGAAGAGGGAAGTGGGAGGCGACTAAAGCCAGGGCCTGAAGGGCACAGATGGGAAATGGGGGGCTGGCGGGACACACATGGTTCTTGTTACTCACTTCTGTGCATGTCGACTTCTGCCTCCTTCTTTCTGAAGCTTCACGATCCTGTGGCCGACACAATATTGATGTTTTAACTAAGATTAATAATAATTAAAATAAAAATTTAACATGAACTACAAGTTAATATTTTAGACACTTTTTTCCAGGTCCGTAACAGAGTAACAGACCATAAGTCGTACTGTGAAAGTTTCCAGCTGTGAACCACCATTAGCTTCTCAGTGTAATTACTGTTATCACCTGTAGGTGTGCTGATCAAACAGCAGTAATAAATCAACTGACGCAGAACCGACAACTAATGATAAAACACAGATGCCCCTTCACAGGAGAACTCAGGTTTTAAACCCCCGCCCACCTCCATCCCCCCGACACCGGGTTCAATATATGGACATATATTTGGTCACTGCCGGAGCCAAGTCCACAGAGGGTGACCAGATCTTAGGCAACGTTTCAAGGCTTTCTGAGTCAGGTTCAAAGAAGAAATTTCATTTTCAAGTCAGACTTGAGTCCCTAAAGTTTTCAAGTCCAAGTCGGACTCACAGAGGAAGTACCGGTCCACGTCAAGTCCCTGAAGTTTCAGGTCCGAGTCTGGAGTCTGGAGTGGACTTGGCCGAGTCAAAGTAGAGTTTTTACATTTTCTGAGTCCAAGTCTGAGTCTGTGAAAAAGTCCCTGAAAGCACAAGTCTGAATCACATTATGGTCCTGAAGAAGTGTTTCATCCAAATGTATTTGACATTTAACAACATTCAATTTGGACTGAAAAAAAAAATTAAATCAACAAAGTAGGCGTTTCAAAGATGATGTAAAGCACTGACCCACAAATCACCCAAACAATCCTACAATAAACTCATTTAAATGGCATCACTTATGTCATCTGTAACTGAAGGCAACATGGAGCTGGTCCAACAAACTCACCCTTCAACAAGACACACTGTTCTTTCTGCGGCGGGGGAACAGGAAATGACATCATCCTGTCCATCCTGCTCCTTCCTTCAGACTGAACTGGAGGGAAAGAAAAAGAAGTTTCATTGTCATTTGTGACATTCAGTGTTTTGGTCAATCAGTACTTCACTGTACTACTTAGTACTACTACATTCCCTAGATCCATTACCATAGGACAGAAGTCTTGATACTGCGCTGAAATATATGAAACAAAGTCTTTAAAAAAAAGGATTTCAGTCAACATATTTTCTGTGGTTAATGTCGAGTGTGTGTGTGTGTGTGTAGTGTTGGACTGGCCTACCAGCAGTCCAGGTCTGTGTCCTGTTGAAAAGTGTCCAAAGTGATGTACAGAAGTAACCAGACAACAAAGACCAAAAACCAAATCAGTTACTGTTGAGACGAGGACTAAAAATAAAAAATAAAAAGCAATTTATTCAATTCATTCTAAAGAAACTAAATCTGTTAAAATGTTTTCAAAGAAAGACTCACTTCACTGTGTTCATTGATTATAAAAAGAGTTGTAGTGTATCTTAGCACGGAGACATCAGACGGGAACTAACGTTAGCTACACGAAGAAGAAAGAAAATCAGCACACCAACAATCTCATCATCCTCAACATTTCTTCAAACTTTCAACAATTACTATTATTGTTTTTATCATTAGCATTTTAGCTCTGCACTGGTCACAGCAGAGATGACCACCACGACCATACATATATATATATGCATTTATATATGTATATATGTCTATAGACATATATATGTCTATATATATATAGACATATATATGTCTATATATGTATATAGACATATATGTCTATTTATGTGTATAGACATATATATGTCTATAGACATATATATGTCTATATATGTATATAGACATATATGTCTATTTATGTGTATAGACATATATATGTCTATAGACATATATATGTCTATATATGTATATAGACATATATATGTCTATAGACATATATATGTCTATATATGTATATAGACATATATATGTCTATATATGTATATAGACATATATATGTCTATATATATATAGACATATATATACATAGATATACATATATTTATATATGTATATATGTACATATATGTATATATATGCAAAATGATGAAACAAAAAATAAAAAAAATAAAACTAAGAAAAAAGTAATGTAGGAATATATGGTTTTGTTTCTTTTTAGCAAAAACCAAAGAAAGAAAAAGAAAAAAAAACACAAAAGAGAATTTCATAAATAGATCAAGCTGTAACAAAACAGAAGGAAACATTTTAGTGTTTCTATATCAGCTTATGTGATATGTGTTATCAGGGACAGTGCAACTGATTACTGTGTGTGTGTGTGTGTGTAGGTTTAATCTCAGATCAAATGTGTTTACGCAGGTTTACAACAACCAACATCATCATCATCATCATCATCATCATCATCATCATCATCATCATCACTGTGACTGTCAAACTAATAAATACAGAACAAACTACCATTTACTATCAGCTCGTAGAAAAGGCCTGACGACAATCAGACGTGATATATTAATAAAATTAAGATTGTTACGATTATCTATACATACAGTATCAACACTTAAAAAAAAACTAGATTTCATTTCTCCAAATAACTCTATACATACAGTATCAACACTTAAAACACTATCAAAACTAGATTTCATTTCTCCAAATAAGGTCATTGCATTAAAGTTCTCTACAGCAGCCAGAATATTTATCAACTAAAAACAAAAAATAAAATAAACGTTAACATCATCATTTCAGCAGTGTATTATTTTAAACTATAACAAATATATCATTTTTATATTCAAGTTAATTAAACCATTTTTATCATATCATTAATTCCATTTTTCAAGCCTTTCTGCAGGTCAAGTCAAACGGGTTTCTTTCTTTTTTTTTTTAAAGTTGAACCCACCACCAAACAGTCTGACATGTCAAACTGATGTCTGAAGATTTTAACACATTTTCCTACAAAAAAATAGGGTATATAAATCTAAAATACAGAAAATGTCTGCCCTCAATAACTACAATTTGAAAAAGGGTAAGTAAATAATTTGTGATGGTTTAATGGCACTGTGGGAGGACACGACGCAGTTACTGTGTCACCTGACAGAGAGTACTGTGTATATTTGTGGATCAAACTATATTTGAGTTGCTTCAGTTTCATTATGACAGGATGTCATGCTACATGTTACTGAACTGAACAACAGCAGCCTCCAGTGTAAAGAACAGGGTCATGTTGCGCTGCGCTGGTAATGCTATTTTGAGCACAACATAAAGGTTCCTGACGCCACAGACAAAGTCGCACACAACGTTCTGTTTCGGAAAAAAAAAAAAATTACAGCTACTTTGGGCTCTGGGGTTGTGCACACTCATACTTGTTGTTGTTACAATGCTGGCCACGCCGACCCCCTGTGTCAACAGTGGCAAAACACATTCACACGTTAGAGCTGATTCAGTGTTTTAAACAATAATAAACCGGGTAAACCGGGTAAACATGTATAAATATAACCCATAAAGTATACATATATATATATTTTAATTTTAATTTTTAAATTAACCTCTTGGCCTTTGACATTTCAAACTTCAGACAGTTTCTTGAAGATAAAAGTTCTGTGTGAAATGTGTAACGTGTTTTAGAAAATCTGGAGGGAACTAAAATCAAACACTGTGAAAAAAAAAACAAACAAACATGAAACTTGTTTGCTTGTTTTTGTGTGAATTATTTGTGAGAAAACAAAATGCATTTCAGACATTTTTTAACAGATAAGCAGTTCATTTTGATGACATATCGCAATAAATCCATTAACGGTAGGAAAACTCCATCCTCTGGTACAATTGTAACAAAAAAAACAAAAGAAAGAATTCAAGAAAATAGTTTTTTTTGGTCACAGTTTGTGTGGAGCTGGAAACGTCAGTTAAAAGGCTTTCCAATGTCCACGGTAATGTTGACATAAAGAGGCAGCCTGTCTAGTGACAACACCTGATACTTGCAGCTGCTGAGTCCATCCTTCTTCCACAACCTCTTCGTGCTCCTCACCAACACCAGCCTGAGGACCAACAGTCAGGTCAGTTCAGACAAGAACGAAACTGCTGGAGTTAGAGTTCCTTCAAACTTTAGCAAACGTTCATGCTCACTTAGACAGACGTTAAATTTAGCTTCAAACCGCTGCTGATATTTACTGAAGCAAATTTATGCTCAACACGTTTGAGAATGCAGTACCAACAGAAACCACCAGAGGCAGTGTTGCTCATAGATCGACGGCCGTTGCCATGATTTGGCTGATGTGGAATTTCACCCACCTCTGCTTGTTGACTTCGTTGCCACTGTCCCGCGAGTGGAACACCATGGTGTAGCGAGCCACGTCGGCCGGCGGCCTCACGATGGTCATGTTGTGGATCTCCGTCCTTCGTGACGCAGCAGACACATGCATGTATCAGTGAATATGAAGTTGAACGTGCACGGTCACAAACCTGCGGTGGCTCCGTGTGTCTCACCTGATTCTCAGATCGTCATCTTCTCCTCCCCAGCCCCAGTAATTATTAGAAAATCCATTCACTTGGAGAAACTGCCGCGAGTTCATGGCCGTCACTCCCCCGAAGTAACCCTTGTAACGCAGCCTGTGACACAAAGAGAAATAAAGATAAGATCCGATTTAGACTTGACGAGAGTTACAGGTGACCCACAGGTGTCGGAGATTAACAACGGTAATAAACGTTGTTCTCAGTGGTAAAAACTAAATCCTTGTCACTTACTTGTAGCCGGTGACATTTCGGCCAACCACCAGGTGTTTGGGGTTATTCTCACACATGTATAAATTATGGTCGTTTTCAGGAATGAGATCCACATCATGGAAAAAGAAGCAATCCCAGTCGTAGTCTTTCTGGGCCTCCAGAAATCCCACATTCAATAATTTGGCTCGGTTGAATTTTGTATCACCAGCCTGAAAAAAATCAAACAGAGCAGACAACGAAACCAGCATCAGCGCATCCATCAAAATGGAAGCCAACTCCAGGACAAGCACCAGGGGTTTGAAGTCTGAAAAAAATCAAACAGAGCAGACAACGAAACCAGCATCAGCGCGTCCATCAAAATGGAAGCCAACTCCAGGACAAGCACCAGGGGTTTGATGTCTTTGATACCACAGTCCTGGTACAGACGTTAGCTACAACAGTCCTGGTACAGACACCAGAGCTAACGTTAGCCTGGTTCATCCACCCGGGCGTCAAATACCTGATGAATGACATAAATGCCGTAGTGGAGCTGCTGCCTCTGCAGGAAGGGGTGCAGGTAGTGCAGGAGGAAGAGGAGGTGCTTCTCCCGGTTGCGATGTGGGATGAGGATGGCAATGTTCTGTCTGGACGTACAGTCTGGAGGTTTGTACGTTCCGTCGACAACGACCTGGTTCTCTTTCTCCACATCCTCCTGTGTCAGTGAGGAGTCAAAGGTCAGCTGCAGGGGTCCAACTGTAGAAAACAACAGACACACATTTTACTACAGTATATTACACAACAACTGAACTTCAATCAATCTGAATGACGACGGGTGGAATCCTGTGTCGCAAGTTTTTGAAACGATCAAGTATCACGTTACAGATAAAACGCGTTTGCTCTGTAATCATCACCTCGCCCGTTCAGTCCCTTTCTGAAGAATTAATCTGTGCCGTCACAAGGTCAGTGTAAAGATTGAGAAATATTAGCTGTCAATGGTTAACCATTTGTGTCGTTAAGAATTGCTTCATTTTGACAGATGTGAAGCAACTTAAACATTGGTGAGTTCCTCACAAACTGTCAAACAAAGATTGAAACACATTTCAATGAAAATTCAGATCAGATATAATACAGAAAAAAAAATGTTTTTATATAATTATATTTGTCCAGAAGCTAAAACAAAAAAAAAGATCAACACATCAGACATGATGTAACACTGCGCTTCAGCTGATACGTTTCATGGGAGCGCCTCGGCTGATTACATTCTTCACTTGTGCCCGACGGCCTCTAGACACCGGGACAAACGGTCAGCTCTCCAAACACAGCTGGAAACGTCTCACCCAAAAAATAATATAATAATGTACACACTGTGACTTGACTTGGCTCAGACTTCATCATGGCTGCAGCGCTCAGGTGAGTGAACAGAGCAAACAGTACGTGTTTGACTATCGCCACTAAAAGAATACGTATCTCAGGCCATATATATATACACATATACACATCACTTCATGAGTAGATTCATTCCTATCACTCTGTCTCGCGATTGTATGATATATATATGAACCTTTGGCCTTTCATACCATTAAAGTGAGTGTAAATACAGAACCTTCAATAAATGATGTAACGCTGACATTACAAGCAAGAATCTGGCGCTAAGATACACAAGGATAGAGGGGCAATTATACGATATATTGCAATATATTGCGGTACTACAGGGACGACAATATATTGAGGGTTTTTTTTCCATCTACGCTGACAGTTCCTAACACTGGAACAGGGGGATCTACATTTGGAATCACTAGAGAAGAAAGAAAAGAACAAGAAAATGAACCAACACCAGGAATATTGGACTGGGAATTGGTAAGAAAAAAAAATCAGTAACTGATGGAGGAGATTGATACAGTATCTAGAAATGTATTATTGCAATATTTCAGTGTATGAATATTTTCTTACACCCCTACAGCGTACTGCTCTTACCTAAGAGAGGCGACTGTGCGGGGCAATCCTCAGTCGTCGTCGTTTGACTGCTGGTTTCGAGCTGAGAATCCAGTTCAACTCTGAGACTTTTTCCCGTGGGTCCGAGGTGAACCTGGAAGGTTTTCACCGATTCACCGGACAACGCTGCCAACCACGCCAGCACGGAGAGCAGGAGAAACAGCGGCACAAAGTACTTCCCCCTGCGCAAACTCTTGCAGGCAAAAATGGAGCAGGCCATGGCTGCTGTACTCGGCTGTATCAAGACTGTGAGAGGAGAACCTAAGAGATTTGTTCCTTTGAGAACAGACTGACAGCACAAGGGTCATGACCTCTTAACATGCTGTCTACTTGGAAAGCCGGCCGACTTTAGGGACCTCGAACCAGCCCAGGGTCTTTTAGGAAAACTTCATCGTTGAAAAAAAAAAGACTCAATCTTCTGAGATCTGTAAGAGAAAATAAAGAAATTGAATTAGTATGAAGACAGCGTGACAAAACAATGACATAAAAAAATTGTTATTAATTTATTATTAAATTCATTTA